ATATTTAATCATCAATCCAATTCAATTCAATTCTATTTATCAACCCCGCTTTTCCCTGGGGAGATATCAAATCCCTCCCCTTGCTTTCAGATTCTTACCCAAATAAAACCCTATTGAGAACAATAGAAATCCACACAAATTTGAACTAAGACAAGGAAGAACCTACAAGTAACTAAAATGTAAAATTACTATAAAATACTATTATGTTGGATGACATAGAAATCATTGACATTGTTCGGTAAAACAAAGCGCAAAACGTCAGAAATAAACATACATTTAATTGTTCTCCAATCTCAGCTTTCACTTTCTCTATATCACGATCTCCTTTTTCTCCCATTAGTTCAGCAAACAGCTTGTCAGCGAAAGTTAGGCATATAAGAACAGGAACATTTTCTCTTTCAAGAATGCTGAGCCATTCCTTGGTTGATTCAGTATGGGCTCTCCTAGCAAAGCAAAGTGCAGAAATTATAAAATAGACGAACTACATGAGCAACGGAAAAACCTTGCTGAAAAGCTTAATTTGCTTGTCTAGTTGTGCAATGGGAAAAGAAGAGAAGAGGGTTTGGGTGGTTGAGAAAACAAGGAAGAACATGAAAAATAACCCAAACATTACAAAGAGCGCAAAACATGAGGGGCCATCCCTCCTAACGTTGGCAGTTTTGATGGTGTTAGGTTATCAGCAACAAGCTATACTATTCAGTGCATGGCGTGGCCAGCCCAACGATCTAGTCCCACTATGCAAATACCATTATAATAAATTTCTAAAGAATGAGTAATGATAAATCGAAATTTGCGTAGCGGGACTAAATCGTTGGGCTGGCTACGCCACTGATGCTCTTGATGGGGACACAGTTGCGTCCTGTATCGGGAACATAATCATACTCTATTTAAATACTTCTCTCTTAACAACAATAGAGTTAACAAATCAGGCAGTTATTTTCAGACAAGGAGTCTGCATTAATGTATTTCTAGTATTGTATATACTTTTCACATACTCGGATAACGGTCATTTGAGCAAAACTTTTCTTACTTGTATTCAACCACAAACACGATTATTCGTGTCAAACTCAAGAGTAATTTTGCCAGTTCAGGAATTGATTTATCAGAATCGTCAACGCCAGGAAAATCGATGACATCCATTCCCTCAATATCTTGACCCAGGTTGTAAATCAATGGCACAGTAGTTCGCTTTGGATCAGTTGTTCCAGTTACAGTCTAGTAATAAATAGACATGTTGTAATATTAATAAAGCTGCTTCAAAAGAAAACCCATTTATGCCTCATGGACCAGACACGCTTTCCAATGCAATACCGTAAACCTTCGACTATAAGCCCTGGGCTTAAATACTTTCGTAAGCGATTTTTGATGGGCTTATACAAGGGGTAGGGGGACTTATATACGGGGGGGGGGATTATACATGGACGATCTTTTGTGTTAGTAATAAACAAGTCAGACATAAACAAGTCAGTCATAAACAGGAAAATAAACATGTATTAATAACACGTTTTGATTCACATAGTCGGCTATAAAGACAATGTTTTAAATATCGTTCTCTGCTATATTAAAAGACAATGTCAATGTTGAATAACGTAGTGGGCTACTGGGCTTATATTCGGGGACTTATATTC